TAGCTTGGTATACTTGGTCATGGACCCAGCCGCTATGCCAAGTGGCGATTGGGAAAACATGAGACTTTCAAAGTTAAAAAAACCGTGTTGTTCGGTCCACCAACCACAGCCTCCCCCCCAAACCTCAAATCGTTCCGGTCCCAGTTTCCTTTCAGGAGACTGATCTCACTTGAAAAATCCGAATAGCCCCTGTTACGATCGATCCAGCCTTGCAACACACGGCCCACATGTTGCACTATATAGATCGAATATCTTTGGATATCCAAAAGGATGATAGTTGGATCATTCCGACCCGACAGGCAATTTCTTGGTGGGGAACAAGTTCCATCCCGTGTCGCGGTCAGTTCACGCATGTTGGTATCGGGCAACCGGGTTTACCATGTTGGATCCATTTGGAGTCGTTGGATCATGTCGTTGAGACCCTGAAAACTCAGGTGCAGTGTTTCTCTCAAAGCCAACCCATTCAACAAATATTTCCCTAAACCCAAAAAAAGAACGAATTGCTATGGGGAAATACCTATGGAAAATACCATGTTGCTCGTTACCTCATTGATGTACCATGAAAAAAAAAACCTTCAATGAGGTCCCCCTGCTGGATTCGGTCCCATCCCAAGCACCTGGCTTGCTCTTATGTTGCGGCAAGATTTCCGCCAGGCGCACGTCGTAGCCCACCTAGGTCTCCATCTTGAAACGCAAATGGAAATCCCCGAAGCAAATGCAGGTTTGCTTGGAAAAACACTTCTAAATGGTTGATGTTCCATTGCCACATTTCATTACCGGAGGGTAGATATCCGGCACGTCCCATTGTTGTGACTTTTCATGTAAGCTTGCTCAGCATCAAAAAAAACTTTATGCTTCAAATCCCATAGGAAACCGTGTTTCAGGAAATATTTGGGCAATATGAATCACCAAGAAAAGTTGGATATACATATATATATATAATATATATATATACATCAACCCAAAAATAACTTGTGCCATCGTGTGCCAATTTTGAAACCCCACCTGTCCAACAAAAAGTCCATCTGTGGGTCACAATGAGCAGAAACACGTTTTTTTGCCACATGCTAAGTTATTCTTAGTAGCCCCCCAGAAAAAGAAAAGTTCTTAATGGAAAAGTTCTTAATGTGTCACTTTTCTAGTCGGATTCTACTTTTCGACAAGTTCTATCTTTTTTGGGGCTACATGGTAATGACTTCATTTGTCCAACTGAACTCGTTGCCATAGCTGGCATCTAAGCTCAATGGCCACCACTAATCTAGTGAAGGCGATTCACAAATCAAATCAATCAAATCAGCACCCTTGCCAAGTGGCCTTGATTTCATTTCAGTATACCATTCCAAAAACCCCCAGTTATTATGGCAATTTTCATGAAAATATGGATGAATCAATGATCAATCAGCGGCTCTACGGCGCCTTCTCAATCCAAATCTCCAGGAGTCGCATCAGCCGCTTCATGTCGAAACTGCAGCGCCACTTCGGTCTGGGAAAACAGAGCGATTCATCCCGTTTCGAAGTGGTGATGGTGTTTTTTTTCTGGGAATCTTCTACGGGTTTTTTCGGTGATGAATAAAGAAACCAGTGGTGGTCATATGAAAAAAAAACTCCACTGGTATCCACTGGTTATTGGTGATGAAGCTTTGTTTTTGTGGTGATATTGAAGTGATCGATCGAATTGAAGGGGTGTCTTGTGGATTTTTGACGATTACACCGAATCGTTCATCTTTTTTGAGTACTGTAAGCGATGTTTTTTAGTGAAACATGCATGTATATGGGTGTGGAAAATAAGGTACCTCATTCCATCCACTGTTAATTAATGTTGAGTTTCTATACTGAAATGGCCATTTGGATCCATTTGGGGTACCACCATTTTCAGACATCCATCTATTTCAATAAACATGAGTAAATTGAATAAACATGAAAACAAAGAAATATGTATATATATAATATAAATATATAATGAATGAAATGATAGGAATAAAATGAATCAATCGAAAATGGGTTGAAAATCGGGTATGAAGGAAACGAATGCTGAAGGAACTGTTTAAGGAAATATTGAGTACGGTGCGAAAGTGGTTCCGGACTGATGTCATGCCACCCACGGGAACAATTGCTTCGCTCCCAGAAAGCCTCTCTATTTAATGATCAAACCATGGTTTCCGGTAGATGTTCACTTAAGCAAACCCATTTCTCCCAATGATCACTGGTTGAATCCCAATTGTTTTTTCATATGTACTGTCGTTGGTTTCCTGGAACTTCACTGGTTCCATTCCTCAATGATGAAAAATCCTCTGAGATTCACCCCTGAGGCCCCTGGCCAAAAATCCTCTGAGATTCACCTCTGAGATTCACCCCAAACTCACAAACATGCCTGGCTCCTAGGACTGAAAGTTCGAACCGCTCGCACACATCTCTCTCTCTCTCTCTTTCCTTTGCTAAGTATGCATATATATATATATACAATGCACGCACACGCATGCATGCATCATCTGTGTATCTACGTGTGTATGTGTGTATGTATATATATAGAGAGAGAGAGAGACGTATGTGTATATCTATAATCATATTAATTAATCATATATATATATAATAAATTATTATAACATATTTGTATACGTATGAATACAGGTCGTGCATATACACATATGCTACGGCATCTGAAGCAACTGGCGTTCCGCCGCTCAGCCGAGCAGCTCTTGCGCTGGCGCGAAGCCGCGGGGGCACTTGGGCTTTCGAAAGAAGTAACCCTCGCTCCAGAACCTGGCCAAAAAGAAAGGCAAAAACCAACCCTCGTGGTGATTTAATGGCGGTTTAATGGTGGTTTAATGGTGGTTTAGTGGTGGTTTAATGGCGATTTAATAGTGATTGAATGGTGGTTTAATGGTGATTTAATGGACTCGAACACTAAGAATGGGAGAAAAGGTGATTTAATGGTGATTTGATGGGATATGCTGGGGAACCCCGTTGATCGTCAAACATGGCTGGCTGGGAAATGCCCGAACTAAATGGGCATGTCATGGGAATATCATCGAACTAGGGAGATTTTCCATTGCCATTGATTACAGTACCGGGCAATAACCATTAAAACAATGGGGATTACCATTGGTTGCATGGTTATTAAAACATCAACAAATGAGTTTGTTGACAAAAAAATGAGTGCTTAACCTTCAATCATTGGTATTACCCTCTGGTAATTTAACATAGCTATGGAAAATCACCATTTCTAATGGGAAAATCCACTATAAATTGCCATTTTCAATAGCTACGTTAAATTACCAGAGGGTATGCTCGCCAAATTGTAGATCCATGACGCTTGTGATATCCCTAGTGATTCGATACATTTCCCTCACAGCTGGCCGCCTGGTGGCATCCCATGATCTTGGGCAATTTACGGGTGTACTTTAAACAATAGAAACTTTAAATGGTGAAATCAGAATAAATCAGATGTGCAATATCATGTTTGCTTAGGTGTACCTTACCCCCTCAAGACACTTAGCATCCTGTTGAAGACGGAATCGGACCCCTTCGCGTGCCAAGGGAATGGAACCAACATAATGATGGTGATCTCAACCGATTCCGATGCGAAAAAAAAAATGTTCCACGGACGATTAAATGTAGATTATATAATGTAGTACATCCAAGACTGATTTGTTTTTTGATCACAGTAAGGGGCATTATGGTGCATAGTACCCTCATCATGGATAAATTGAGGCTGGATTCCCTCGTCGCAACATCAGAACTTCTGATGACCTCAACCACCCGTTTCATCCCGAGTGGTGCTGCCCTACCCCAATCAAAATGGGCTATGGTCATCCCACCATGATTACGGATTCCTATCAAAATGGATATGTATCATATATATATATAATTGTATGTATACAGTATATACATGACAGTGGAAATACATGGATCTACAATGAAATACACCTAAATATATAGTGACAAATGGTGTGTGTGTGTGCCATGATTTTTAATTCCCTCTGAAAATGGATTGATGACCATCCCCGAAAACCCTGGCCCTATGCCCACCAATTTTCCACTGACAGTGTCAACCTGTGCTCGTCGTAGAACTTTTTGATTCCGTTTTCAGCGAGTTCCAAGTTTCCTTGGTCACTTCCGGCAGGGTGTTGAATACTGGGCAGTGAATGTGCTGAATTGAGAAGATCCTTGGTGACTCAACGTTGACATGTTTAGCAACTCACAAAACGGTTACCAGGATGTTATACAGTAGATGATATGTCCTTGATAATTCCAGGTGTCTCACTGTTCTCTATCTTCTTGGGGGTTGCTACGTATATATATATATATATATCTATATATGTATATGTATGTGTCTATATATATGTATATATATATGTATATATACATATATGTATATATATGTATACATATATATATATGTATATATATATGTATATATGTATATATATATGTATATATACATATGTATATATATATGTATAAATGTATATATATATGTGTGTAATTAGTTAATAATGTGTATATATATATGCAAATAAAAATATATGTATATATATGTATATACATATGTATATATGTATATATATACATGTATATAAATGTAAATGTATATATACATGTATATAAATATATATGTATATATGTTTGTATATGTACTTGTATATGTATATATATGTGTGTGTGTGTGTAATTAGTTAATTATCTATATATATATAAAACAAATACATACATGCATACATACATACATACATTCCTTACATACATACATACATACATACATTACATACATATATATATATACATACATACATACAAAACATTACATTACATTACATCAATACATACATACATACATGCATACGTTACGTTACGTTACGTTACAATACATACATACATACATGCATACGTTACGTTACGTTACGTTACGTTACATTACATTACATTACATACATACATTACATACATTACATACATTACATACATTACATACATTACATACATTACATACATTACATACATTACATACAATACAATACAATACCATACAATACCATACCATATCATACCATACCATACATACATACAATACCATACCATACCCTTCCATACCATACCATACCATACCATACCAACATACATACATACATACATAAATACATACATACATACATACCATACCATACATACATACATACATACCATACATACATAACATAACATACATACATACATAATAAAATAACAAAACATTAAACAAAAAACAAAAAAAAAACAACATAACATAACATAACATACCATACATACATTGCATACATTACAGACATTACATACATTACATACATTACATACATTACATACATTACATACATTACATACATACATACATTACATACATTACATACATTACATACATTACATACATTACATACATTACATACATTACATACATTACATACATTACATACATTACATACATTACATACAGTACATACATTACATACATTACATACATTACATACAATACAATACAATACCATACAATACCATACCATATCATACCATACCATACCATACATACATACAATACCATACCATACCCTACCATACCATACCATACCAACATACATACATACATACATACATACATCCATAACATACCATACCATTACATTACATTACATTAGATTACGTTACATTTCATTACATACATACATACATACATTAAATTCATTTCAGTACATCACATTACATTACATTACATACATACATAAATTCCATACATTACATTAAATTACATTACATTACATGACATGACATGACATTACATTACACTACACTACATTACATACATACATACATACATTACTTGCATACATACATACATACATACATACATCACATCACATTACATTACATTACATTACATTAATACATACATTACAAACATACATACATACATACATACATACAAACATACATACATACATACATACATACATACAATAACATTCCATACCATACCATTACATTAAATTACATTGCGTTACAAAACATACATACATACATTACATTACATTACATTGCATTACATTACATTACATGACATTACATACATACATACATACATACATGACATTACATACATACATGACATTACATACATTACATACATTACATACATTACATACATTACATACATTACAGACATTACAGGCATTACAGACATTATATACATTACATACATTACATACATTACATACATTACATACATTACATACATACATACATACATACATACATACATACATACATTACATACATACATACATAAATACATACATACATTACATTACATTACATTACATAACATAACAAAACATAACATAACATAACATACATACATACATTACATACATACATACATACATACATTACATACATACATACATTACATTACACTAAACTACATTACATTACACTAAGCTACATTACATTACATTACATTACTTACTTACATACATACATACATACACACATTACGGACATACATTACATACATTACATACATTACATTACATTACATTACATTACCTTATCTTACATTACATTACATTACACTACATTGCGTTACATTACATTATATTACATACATACATACATAATTTCGGTGTCATCGATACCAGCCTACCCTGTGAATTTGTTGGAGAGTACACGTTCCCTGCGGTTAAAGTTCTATCGCGGAGAAGTTTTTGCCGTCAGGAACCCATACTAACGGGACGATCATAGCTATAGTACATAGAACAGAAAGCAGGATGAGGTAATATTACAGCATTTGCCGAACACTTACACCTATATTTTTGCAGCCAAATATACGCGCAAAATGGATGGCATAAATTACGCGCAAACACCCCGTTTCGCCCACACCCTTCTTGTCTTGGGAAGATCAACAAAGGTATTAGGGAATATAAAAGTCCCACCCCCGTTAAACTTCTACATTGATTCATTGAAGGCCTTCAATAAGGGTTTAATTCTCCCACCCCCGTTAAAATTCTACATTGATTCATTGAAGATCTTCAATAAGGGTGGGTCTCATTCTTCCACCCCCGTTAAACTTCTACATTCATTGAAGATCTTCAATAAGGGTTTAATTCTCCCACCGGGGTTAAACTTCTATATTCGTTGAAGATCTTCATTGATGATGATGATGATGATGATGATGTGGAACGAACCCGCACAGGTCCCTCTGCTGTCGTTCTGATCTAGAACATCAAGTTCACCATAATGCTAAAATATCCCATTTTTACCACGTTTTCAGCTCATACCAAGAAGGCAGGCCAACAGGCGCGGGCAAGACGAGGTGTTTGGGTGTATAATTACATTTAATATCATATAATTACGAGTTGTGACAGCAAAGCGCGAGCGAAGAACAACACGTATACTCTGGTCGTCTGACCAGCAGGAAAAACATTGACAATAGATAAATCAATCATGTTATATTTGTTACTGCCATGTTCTATTGCCATATTTTTGTTTCTACACATGGCAATAAAAGATTGGCATTCAATCCATTTTTGAGATGATGTTCTATTGCCATATTTGATCACTGAAAGGCACGGACTCGATGCTTCACTCGAAGAATACCGCCGCAGCAACTAGAGCTGTGGGCTGCTGGCGAAAATCTGCGATCTGAAATTATGTCATCGCAATAAAAAAAGGCTATGTTTGAAACATCCGTTGTGATAAATTATAAATTCTACTTGAATGAGTATATAGAATGAGAATTAGTATAAATTCTACATAAACTCCACAAATAGATTCATATAGGATGAGAATCGCGTCGTCCGAAGATTCACAACCCGCCGATCCTTCCATTCCCACGGCCGAAGAGAGGACCATCCCCAATGATGAACCCTTTGGGGGTCATGTTACACCCCAAATAGATTGCAAATGGAGGCATACCCAATGACAAACCCTAAAAACTGTGGATGTGGATGTGTTGTTAAAAAGAAAAAAAATGACCTGTCTGATCTTTTTGTTTGTTATTTATCTGCTTTTTAATTGAACTACAACTTCGTTGACTTTTCCCTATCCGTACCTCAGACTGTGCAATCTGCAGCGGACATCCCACATCTTCGGCTGAGAATCTCTTCGTTTTCCACGGCTCTACGTTGCCAAAGACCCTGGGGCAACTCTCGTTATCTTCCAGGTTCCTGGGATCCAAGGTCGGGAAAACTGTTGCAGATACGGTTCCAAAACCATTGTTCTGGGCATCAGAGGTTTCCTCTGGTTTCTTGATGATCCCTTTCTCCAACCTCCAATGCTGAGATGGTTGAGGTTGAGGCCCATGATGTCTGAAAAATTGCTCAACATGACCAAAATCTGTCAGGGGCTGATGTTGACCCACAGTTTGAAGTGCTCTGTTTCGAAAAGTATCAGCACTTCAGCCACTGTTCTGAACAGTCAAAACTGCGTTGTGTCTCTGGTGCGTTTCTGTAGGGAACAAACAAATGTCTGGTGAAATGGCCACGCTGCATCATGAAACAAGATGCAGCCCACGAACCCGAATGCTCACACGTATGTTGATGGTACAGATGTCGAAAAACATGGAAATGCAGTCGCGCAGAACACGTTTCTGAAACAGTTTATTTGAACAGTCTTGTACATTTTCCCCTGTTACCATACCAGTGCACCTTAGACTGTGGAATATGGAAGAAGGTGGCGTGCTAAGTGTGGAGTGTGGAGTGTAGAGTCTGGAGTGTAAAGTATGGAGTGTAAGAAAGTGTGGAGTGTCAAGTGTAAAGTGTAAAGTGTGGAGAGTGGAGCGTAGAGTGTAAAGTGTAAAGTGTGGAGTGTAAAGTGCAGAGTGTGGAGTGTAAAGTGTGGAGTCTGGAGTGTGGAGTGGAAAGTGTAGACTGTGGAGTGTGGAGTGTAGAGTGTGGAATGTGGAGTGCAGAGTGTAAAGTGAGGAGTCTGGAGTTTGGAGTGTGAAGTGTGGAGTGTGGAGTGTAAAGTGTAGAGTGTAGAGTGTGGACTGTGTAGTGTAGAGTGTGGACTGTGTAGTGTAGAGTGTAAAGTGTGGAGTGTAAAGTGCGGAATGTAAAGTGTAAAGCGTGGAGTGTAGAGTGAAAAATGTGGAGTGTAAAGTGAAGAGTGTAAAGTGTAGTGTGTAGACTGTGGAGTGTACGATGTAAATTGTGGAGTGTAAAGTGTGGAGTGAGGAGTGAAAAATGTAAAGTGTAGAGTGTAAAGTGTAGAGTGCGGAGTGTGGAGTGTAAAGTGTAGTGTGGAGTGTGAAGTGTGGAGTGAGGAGTGTAGAGTGTGGAGTGTGGAGTGTGGGGTCTGAAGTGTAAAGTGTGGAGTGTGAATTGCGGAGTGTTAAGTGTGGAGTGTGAAGTGTAGAGTGTGGAGTGTAAAGTGTAGAGTGTGTAAAGTGTAGAGTCTTTCAAGTGGTAGAGTGTGGAGAGTAAAGTGTGGACTGAGGAGTTAAAAATGTAAAGTGTAGAGTGTAAAGTGTGGAGTGTGGAGTGTAAAGTGCAGAGTGGGGAGTGTAGAGTATAAAGTGTAGAGTGTAGAGTGTGGAGTGTGGAGTGTAGAGTGTGGAATGTGGAGTGTAGAGTGTGGAGTGTAAATTGTAGAGTGTAAAGCGTAGAGTGTAAAGTGTATAGGCTGTAAAGTGTGGAATGTAAAGTGTGGAGTGCAAAGTGTGGAGTGTAAAGTGTGGAGTGTGGAGTGTAAAGCGTGGAGTGCGGAGTCTAAAGTGTAAAGTGTGGATGTGGAGTGTGGAGTGTAGTGTAGAGTGTGGAGTGTAAAGTGTGGAGTGTGAAGTGTAAAGTGTGGAGTGTAGAGTGTGGAGTATAAAGTGTAAAGTGTAAAGTGCGGAGTGTAAAGTGTAGAGTGTGGAGTGTAAAGTGTAGAGTGAAAAGTGTAGAGTGTAAAGTGTAGTGTGGAGTGTAAAGTGTCGAGTGTGGAGTGTGGAGTGTAAAGTGTAGAGGGTGGAGTGTAAAGTGTGAAGTAAGGAGTGTGGAGTGTAAAGTGTGGAGTGTAGAGTGTGTAGTGACGGTTGCAAACGGTTGGGCAACGTCGAGCGAACACACCCTCAACCCCCAGACCCCCAGAGTGAAACGGGAACCTTGCTACGCATTCGGGAAAAATCATTGGGGGGGCTCACCCGCACCCTGTTTAAATTTCTACCCCCCTCAAGTCAACACATGTGTTTCTGAATCTGAGGGACCTGTGTTCGAATTCATGGGAGAATTAGCTGTTCAACCCTCTGAAGAAAAAGACATCTTTGCTTTCCCCGATCCCTTGAAAATTCTTTGCTTCTCTACCTGGGTATGGGACGGGTTTTAATTTGGTACCCCCCAAAAATCCAAAAACATGTGGGTCAATGCCAAGAGTTGCAACTGTGGTTCACTGGGCCTTAGACCCTTGGCGTGGCTTCAAACTTCGGCCCAGACTCAAAGCTCTCGTGCAAAGAATGGACTTGCGCCAGAGTGATTTGAAGTCGTCCTGAGTTGCCAAAATTGGCTCCCAAATGGCTCATGAATGGCCCACTCCACCTATATAATGGTCTATGCTATGCGGCGATTCAGAAGAAAAGGATGTCTGGCACCCAAATGCTCCATGTACCGTATATATATACCTCTGCATTTGTTCATTTCAAAGGTTTGGGAATATCCATGGAATATCATGGAATTGAAGAGATGAATTGGTTACACCTCGGCCAGTAGGAAGTAGAACCATTTTTCTCCCCAAGCATAAAGACGTAGAGGTTTTGAGTCTTCTCTATGCATCCGTCTAAATTGGCGGACTTCGGAAAACTATATGGCATGTTTATATAAACATATCAATTCCTGGCTAATTCACTGATTTCATCAACATCCCAGCCAAAACCATAGTGCCGTAGTTCCAGAATGTTACGATCTTGACCCAAGATTCTCCAGGCACATCATAGAGGCCGGTCTTCTCCAACATCCAAATCACCTCTCGGATTGAGTCAAGTTTGGGGTCAATCTTCTCCAAATATCATATAAATCAAGTTGAGTTACTGTCTGATAATCTTACACAGCAATGAAAAAGTGCGCGCACGGCATATCCATTTAAATGAAGGCAATTTCACCATGCCATGTTTGAAGATCTGAAAGGAAATCATCCCAGTTACATGTGGACAGGGTCCAGGGACTCAACGAGCCATCGTCATAGAGCATCAAGAAACATGTTGTTTTGATATCCAACAAATCAATCAGAGTCTCAATCACATTCCGTCTAATGAAACAGATCAAAACCATCAATTGAGAGTGAACCTTTGAGAGTGAACCATCAATTTCTAGTGAAACATATGGTAAAACCTTTGATAGTGAACATATTGATTTCCCCCACACCTAGGAAGACCAAGCAGGATGGTTCGATGTGTCGCCTCTCTAAAGATTGCTGCTGGTTCTGTGGGGGAATCTGTCCAACAAAACTGCAAACGACCAATACTGTACCCAAATCACCGGTTATAAGCCACTTACAATGGTGATCTATATTGGGCGCCAGTGCAGTGACCAAACCTCTTGTGTCATCCCCTCCCCTTTATATTGCTTGGTTTTCAGGATGCATCGCAAAAGTGCATGAGAAGCCTGCTGGGTTCCTAGGCCAACCCCATACTTGACCACTATTATTTCCAAGTTTGGTTGGTGAACCTCCCCAAGTTCCGACGTTTCCTAGCCGTCCAGCCATCTCACCACCGGTCCCGACTGAGACCGACTTGCAAGTGTCCAATCAGACCACTCTTTCACCACCATCTTTTGATTGATGTTTCACCCAAGAAAATCTAAAAATCAAAAAATCCCTGTGGATCCCTGGCTTTCTGTTCCCTGCTTATCTGACCAGCCCTTTTGACCGATGACCACCCCCATCCCTCAGCGCTCTCCGTCCCAGTCACATGGGCAGCCTTTTTTCTGAAGCTCGGATCCTTGGGAGCCCAGGAAGTGGTTGGAACCGTTGAGTCATTTGGTTCTGGTTGCTTGATCAAATTTCACGAGCTGGGATTTTGATATCCAATATTCCCTAAAAATCACAAAATCCCAGGAGCTCGTGAAATTTGATATGCTTGATAGATGTGGGTGTCGTTATACAAAGCGAACATATAAACCATATTGGTGGCATCTCCTTCTTGGATTCATCACATGTTTGGAGGATCATCCCACGGATTGCAACTGGTTAATAGCCCTACTGATTGGGTTCGTCCGCGATCAGTGTCTTATCCCATTAATCTAAATGGCTGAACTAACCATGGTTACTAACCCAATAAATGGGTACTATCCCAGTCAATATAATCAATGGATATGTTCCATTCATTGAGTAGTTACTGGATATTCTCCACTATATCAATCGGCGATATTATCAAAGGATTGGTTGAAGGGAAAATCTAGAGGAAACCATGGTGTTTACCATCATAGAGAAGAGGTTCCTGTAAAATTTCCCTGAAACCAATCCAAGGAATAACTTATCCTAATATTTCTACAATAAAATTTCTTAAGTAGTTATTACTAATAATTGGTTAATATTACATCACCATCATAGTACATGGATATTCTAAACTAGTCCACTATATCCTCCGTTCATCAACCTGGGATCAAAGCCCTTCACCCAGACACAGAGATCCGGTAGTTGTAGCCATCCACCACGCAGCAAGCCTCACGGAGTTTGGGCATGGCGATATTGATATGTGCCATAATCAATATTGGATATAGTAAGATAAAATATTTAACGTGAAATATACTATGCGATACAAGATGGGATATAATATAGAATATAATGTGGGATATAGCATGGGACATAATATGGGATGTAATATGGGATGCAATATGGGATACTGTATACTATATTGGAATCTGTTTCGATATGTAGTCCTATTTAATGATTATAGATGGGATGCATAGGTGGTACAACCCCCCCTGGTGTGTGAGGGGAATTAACACACCAACCATTTTAATGGGGATGTAGTGGGACATTCAACAATATAATATATAGATGTATCATATGTACATATATGTATATGATATGTGTATATATATATATATACACGTGTGTGTGTGCTGCGGTCAAGTTACATGAGATTGATGGGGTACCGTCATCCATTCCATAATGGGCATCATTGTACCGGCAGCAGGGGATCCTAGACTCAAATGGGCCATGAATCGAAGATGAATCATCAGATATCATCAGATATCATATCCAACACACATATCCTGAAGCATTTTATGTCAGGTAATATCATATATCCAACACATATAATTATGTCCAGATACCCTTTCGAAGCTGCCAACGTAGTGAAGCGAAATCTCCCAGGCCTCCCCATCCCCACATCCCCACATCTCCATGTTACGGAAAGGCCTGGCTCCCAATATCGCTATGTGCCAGCTGTTGACCGTCGCTACGGAGAGAGACCACTGGGACCAGCAGGAGCCAACCTCGAGGCAGGTTGTAGTGTGCTGTAGCGACAAAAGGATGTGCATCCAACACGTCAAGTGCTGAAAATGAGCGATATTGTATGTGTATATGTTTCTGTAAGTATTTGTATAGTATTTTTATAATATATATATATTCTGTATGTACATGATTATATGTATATAACTCGGGTTTGTCCTATTGCAACTTTATGAACATTGTTTTCAACAACATACCACCTGAAAATGCAGATCCATGTTCAAGTCCCATAATTCAGTGTAAGGTTTATTGAAACCAGCCTATGGAAAAGAAGTCCGTTTGGGAGACCTGAATTGGCCATTGACATATGAGTAGCGGACAAAATTATATGTTAAATTCAATGCCATGTACGAATTAGGGTCGTCCCCTATCGGTTGTGTGGATTTCAGTATTCCCAGAGGTATCATAAATGGGGTATCGGTATAGGGTCGTCCCCTATCGGCCCTATCGGTTATGAAGGTTTTGTGCAACCTCGGAAAAGCCAAGGCGAAGCAAAGACTAAATTAGTATTACAATAATTTTGTCGGTTACTCATATGAGGATAGTTTGATGTAGTTTTGCCTGTAGAAATCAGCATTCAAAGAGGCTCCAGGGTTTACATGCCCATGCTCTATGAGCTACTGTTTATGAACGAGTGACAAAATTGCCTTGAGCAATTGACATGGCAGCACTTTTGGAATTCCAAGAGTCCAAACATAGAGTGGTCGCGATGATTCCTTTGAACACGTGCATATCTTTCCCCCGCTGATTGGTAGACAGCTTATATGCATATAGTTATCGAAGGAAGTTTAGAAGTCAAACTTCCGACAATATGGACAAATGAAAAGCAGAGGTGGGAAGAGTCAGAGAAGAGAAGAGAAGAGAAGAGAAGAGAGTAGAAGAGAGTAGAAGAGAGTAGAAGAGAGTAGAAGAGAGTAGAAGAGAGTAGAAGAGAGTAGAAGAGAGTAGAAGAGAGTAGAAGAGAGTAGAAGAGAGTAGAAGAGAGTAGAAGAGAGTAGAAGAGAGTAGAAGAGTGAAGATCAGAGAAGATCAGAGAAGAGAAAGCTTCAGAAGAAAGAAGATCCAGGCGCGCGAAAAGGTAGGAAAGTCGCGAAACACTGTGCTTTTGATTTGAGGCTCCGGAGGGTCGAAAAGTAGGCTCGCTAAAGCGACGGGTGCGGAGCCCGCTGGGCAGATGAGAGATGAAAAATTGCACGCCGTTGTGGCGCGAAGCACATTTGCAAGTGAAAAAGCTAAAAACACCTCATGTTCGGAACACTTTTGGAAGTTGAGATGTCGAAAAAGTGCACGCGGTTGTGGCGCGAAGCACATTTCCAAGCCAAAATGCGCAACACACACCAGCTCCGGACCACTTTTGGAAGTTGAGATGTCAAAAAAGTGCACGCCGTTGTGGCGCGAAGCACATTTGGAAGTGAAAAAGGTAAAAACACCTCACGTTCGGAACACTTTTGGAAGTTGAGATGTCGAAAAAGTGCACGAGGTTGTGGCGCGAAGCACATTTCGAAGTCAAAATGTAACAAGCACACCGTGTTCGGAACACTTGTAGAAGTTGCGATGTCGAAAAAGTGCACGCTGTTGTGGCACGAAGCACATCACATGCTCGGGCCACTTTTTGACGTTCAGATGTCGTTTCGCGTGGCAGGCGCAAGGGATTGTGCACCTTGTCAGAAGTGAGCAAAACGTGATGGTTTTGTAGCGTTTCCAAAAACGATGGCAGGCGTGGGACATTTGAAGAGGATCTACAAAGATGCATTTTCCGTGGCAGGCGCAGTACAAGAGACATGTTCATCAGAGCTGTTAGGAGGTCAGGGCGCTGATTTCCTGAGACGGGTTGCATTTTGGAGCATCAGATCTTCAGGTTTGCTGGATGATTTTGCGTCGCAAAACACATTGGTACGAGGCCGTCAGCTCTGCACTCAACTTTCCATTGTTGAAGGAAGTCTGGCAGAATTGCTTCGTTTTTGATGTTGTCAACTTTGAAAATTGAGGAAGTCTCGCAGACTTGTTTCGTTTTTGATGTTGTCAAGTTCAAAAACTGAGGAAGTCTCGCAGATTTTTTTCGTTTTTGACGTTGTCAAGTTCAAAAAATTGAGGACTTCTCGCAGGATTGCTGCGTTTTCAATCTTACAGTTAGACAGGCAGACAGACAGACAGACAGACAGATCGATAGATAGATAGGTAGATAGACAACTACAACTACAACAACTACAACTACCACTACACTACACTACTGCTACAACTACAAATACAAATATACTACGCTACATTACACTACACCACTACACTACACTACACTACGCTACGCTACGCTACACTACACTACACTACACTACACTAATTACATCTAATCACACTACACTACACCAATTACACTAACAACTGCAACAACAACTGCTACCACAACTACAACTACAATTACAACTACACTACACTACACTAATTACACTGCAGCACGCAACAACTGCAAACACAACTGCAACTACAACCACACTACATTACACAACACTACGCTACACTGATTACATTTCATTACACTAAAACTACAGCTGCAGCTGCCACTACAACTACAACTACATTGCACTACACTACACTACACATACTACACTACATTACACTACACTACACTAATTATGCTGCAACTACAACTACACTACACTATTTATTTGCACTGCACTGCACTACAACTACAACTACATTACCTTACACTAGACTACACTACACTATACCACACAACACTACACGACACTACACAACATTACGCTGCATTACACTACACTAATTACACCACACCACGGCTACAATTGCAACTGCACCTGCAAATACACTAATTACGCTACATTACAGCTACAGCGCCACTACACTACAACTACAGCTACAACTGCAACTACAACTACAACTGCACTACACCACATTACATCCAGCAGTTGTGGTAAGGTGACCACTGCAACCGTGGCAACCATTCCAAAAAACACAACTCCGACTCCAACCACCTGTCAGTCCATCAGTGGATTCGCTCTGCCATCCGTGATTCACAACAACCAACCTCTCCTATAGGCTTACTATTTTTGAAACTTCCGCCACCGCCTTGTGCGGTACTACTGGTATATTATATTGAATATTGTCAGTTTCCCACATCTAGTGCCCAAGGTGGTAATTCCATAGCAAACTCTTAGTCTACCGTATGGTACCATATTAAAACCCCCTCAAATCAACAGCCCATAGGGCCATCTCCAGTGGATGGGGCTCAGGTCTCAAGGTCCCAACTCATCCTCCAATTCTACAGGACCAAACATCTCCCATATGTCAAACGAGAGCAAAACACATCTAATACATACACATCATGTGTGTATGTATGTGTGTATATTTAAATATTTAAACAAACAAAGCGTTTGCAAACTGGATGGGCCAAACCTATCCCCAGATGTTCCCCGCTGCAACATCGCCCAGCAACAGAAGAAGCGCGTCGCCATTCGACGCGCCTGTCTAAGGCGCGATGGGATCCAAAAGGGGCCTTAAAGCGGGTGCAGGCCAACAAAAATTTTCAAAAACGTGGATACTAACCAACAAACATACCGATTGCAGCAGCTTAAAAAAGCAGGACCTTGATTGTGAATAAAGGAGAGCAATCATTAAGTGGCTGTAATTATCAGCACGGGGTTTGAAGGCTCTCCGTCCTCACTGGAATATCACCAGCAAGAACAGGCATTTCATCACATAAAACCGAGGACAGAATTTACAATAACTGGGATCCAACTGGATAAGCTAGCACGATCATAAGTTTATCAGAAGCCACTCAGAAATTGGACCATACGGGATCGCATCACTTGCTACTGGCTTGATGCCAAAAAAGCCTGGCAGTTGTCAATGGTCTATGCCACAAGTACTTGACGTGGGTCTCAAATCGATGGAGGACACCTCAGAATGTTGACAAAGGGGACAATGATGATGGACCGTGTTTTTCTGGTACAAACCCAAATGCCAACTGGGGGTATTTACAAGTTACATGGGGCCACTGGTTCCATGACTGCAAACGACCCCGATCACAAACAGGTTTGGACCAAAAAATACTGCCGAGGCACAGCAGGTAGATATGCAACAAGAATTTGCAAACACTTCAGACCTCAGTGGCACAGCAGGTTAGGCCTGAAAGTCTCGGGGTGCACTCCGCCAATGGGGTCCCACAATCCCAATCCCCATAGAATTAGAATTGTGGCGATGCAAAAGGTAGTTGTACCATAGCATTAGCCACTGGAAATATCGTGTACTTATTGTACGAAAATAATCTACAAATGGTGGATCCAAACAGATCAACCCTTTTTGATCACTTGCTATCAACCCCCCGATCGTTCCAAGTAGGGATGGAACGACCAGATTGCTTGGACCAAGCGGGGTATGATGGTCAAAACTGCGCGCCCTAAAGTGGAATGGTTTACCAACTGGTCCACTACTTCATGGGGATTCAACCATACTCCAATACACGGCGAGAAGCAGGAATAGGCTTGTGCCACAAGGCTCCGTTGGGCAAACATGGCCGCAGGATGTGGTTTCATGCACACCATAGATCAATTTTAGAAACACCAACATCAGTTAGGGAAAATTGGGGTTCCTTCTTTTCCATGTATATATATATATAAATATATTTATTTAGAGAGAGAGAGAGAGATTCATGAATTCCATCTTGAAGCCATGATCTTCACACCGCAACAATTTGGAACCCTGGTGCTAAGTCTCCACTTCCTGTCCATGTCCCTTTTTATAACGGGTCATGGTGCAGCTTTTATGCAGCTAAATAATGTTAGTAGTGAAAATTGGTGTGATTGTTCTAGCATGATCATACATGGTCATAACTGTATGTTCATGAGTGGTTGCTATTATCAAAATCATATTTGTTGATCTTGTTTGTTCATTCTCTTGCTCCCTACTATGATAACAGATATCACAATATTATATTGCCAAAATACTGTAACGACAATCATTAACTATAGTAGTGATCAATCAATGTGACTATATGTTGTCATGACTATATTAAATTGAAAACTGTTATTGCATTGTTTTACTAGTAGTAAATATTACCAATCAATGAAAAACGTTGGTAATTATTTCGTACTAAATATTAACAGTACTGAATATTCCCAAAAAAAACAAAAATATATATATATACAGTTAACGAATACGAATATTTAGCTACCAGAAACAACGAAACTAAATATATATTATTTTCACATGTTATTACGAATATTGCTAGTGGATAGCATACTAACCATCATCGTTATCATTAGCATAATGCTAGCCATTGATAGGATGAATTCTTTATTTATATACAGTCCAAGCACTGTATAAGAATTCCTTGTATAAGAAAATGAATGGCTTGATTTTTTTGCCGCATATATGTTTTGTGGAAAAAATATGCAAATGGAAGTTAAGTTGAGGGACCCTGGAGTTTTAAAGGCTAAGGAATTTAGATGTGTGTGAAGGAGCCCCTTTGCGCCCCTGCTCAATTTTCTTAACCACGCAAGGGTTTATAAAGATTTTATTTGGAGCGGGAAATGGAGCCAGCCTCCCTTGCAACCAAATACCCGCCAAAATGAACTTTGCACAACCATGGTATGGTTGGGAATGACCAGCAAGAAAGAAATCCAGCCCCTCAATACATAACTAAGAAATCCAGCGCCAATTTCTTAATCATGTAAGGGTTTGTAAGAGCTTTCTGTAGAGGAGGCTGGGTAACTGTTCCTTTGTGCCCAGGAGCCACTGGGAAGCGGCGCAAGGATGGCGGAGTCAAACTCACGAAAGGAGCTGCGCAGAGGCAACCCCGCTCTTACATCTTCAAATCTGACTGCTTGCAAAATACTACATTAAGAAATTGCTGAGAAATTAAGGGACCCTCGACCGAATAATTGCACATATATACTGACATACATGGGGCCTTTCCGATAAGAAATTGAGGGACCCTGGCCATCGGCAACCAACATTCTGATATAACGCTCGCGCTGTATGTATGTATGTATGTATGTATGTATGTATGTATGTATGTATGTGTATGTGTATGTGTATGTATGTATGTATGTATGTATGTATGTATGTATGTATGTATGTATGTATGTGTATGTGTATGTGTATGTGTATGTGTATGTAAATGTATATGTATATGTATATGTATATGTATACGAATAAAGCTACTGTAATTAGATACATGCTATTTATTAATCATCATTGACAGTTTTTGCGAATCATTAGGATTCCTGGGATGCACATCCAACGGATGGCCACCTCTGCAGCTGCTCTCGGACATCTGGATCTGGGTCGCTGCCTTCGGGATATGAGCAGAGTCCCTGGCCCTGTCAACACCAAAGCATGTATATATATATATATGTATATAAATGTATATGTGTGTATATATACATATATTCATATACCCACATACAAACGTTTACGCGTATACGTAATACATGTTCATTTACAACACGTGCGATTTCTATATACATACACATACATTTAAGAAACAAACAAAACATATATATATACATATATATATATTTACATGTGTGCATGTGTACTATATATATATAAATAATCCATGCATGTGTCTTGCTCCTGCGCATGGTTTGACATGACAGATGAAATCGCCGGTGCTCTGCCTAGAAGTCTTTGGGCTTCCAGGGTACGCGTCAGCAGGAAACCTGGGGGGATCCATGGGAGCCAGTGGCGGACTCGTTTAAAGAAAATATGCGGGAAACCTGAGATTTGTTTCGGAAATAACCTAACATTGAAGAATATTGGGACAAACTGCAGGTTTACCAGTCAAGTATGAGGATTACCTGCATTTTTTTGAGGAAACCAAGTTGCAATGTTTGCCCCTTCATAAATGCAGCTACCAGATAAATCAAAATCTCATGACCCGGGGACTTTGACTCATATGGCTTTGATCGGAGGGAAAAAGTACCGCAGTCGATTGCAGTTCTACAGGGAAACGGGATGATAAAACATAATATAATGTAAATTGGGTATTTATATTTAGGTCACACACACACGTATATATATATATCACACACATATATATATATATACAATTTGTAGGTACAGACTGCATTCAAGCAAATAGCATTTAGGATTATGTAGGTATAGGTGCCCTTTGAGTATAAAATCTATATAGTCTATAGGGAACCAATATGTAGCATAGAGGCACACAATGAGTGGTAAAGCGTGCGTAATATAGTATACAGGAACCCTATGCAATGAGTGGTATGTAGGTACGCTATGAAACAAGTGTAGGTAGTACATGTAAGGTGTAAGGCGCACAAAGGTATTGATGAAGCAATGTGCAGCCAACACGTGTGTATAATGGTGTTTGGGTATTTATATTCAGGTGGTATGTGATACATAAATAAGCATATTTTTTGTAGGTGCTTTTCTGATCTTTGCAAAATAACAACTGCTATAAATTTTACGGCGCCTGTTTTTCTCTGTCTGTGCGCGTGAAGACTTTCAACTTTCTTTCTGTAGATATGGGCCGTGCTGGGGAGAGTGCTGGCGCTGCCAGAGGTTGGGCTCCCAGCTGCTTGGCCACCCTTCTCACGCTCAATTTCCTTCTGCATCTCCCTGATTTTCGATGTTCGACCAGGCATCTTTGTCAGCATTCTTGAAAGTGTCGGCACACATAGCACGGGCCAGGCCATGCTCACAAGTGGCCTTCCAAAAAATGCTCAGCAGTTGCAACCTCCAATTCCTGACAAGCGTGGAGGCGGTGGAGGCGGGGGGACATCTTTTTTTTTCGAAGGCCGGCAGGAGAGGGACCATATTACTATCCTTGAGTGCATGGGACGCTAGCAAGGGAGGTGGGGGCGGACATCATGATTACGATATGTTTTTTGAAGCGGGGGCTGGACCCCATTATTGTTTCTGAATGCATCGCACACTGAATGACTTCTATTTTGGGTCCACCCCCGTGCGAGATGATAGCATTCATTGGCGAGCTGTAACGATGACATCTGCACACCCACAGCGAATACAAACTCGCTGCATGAAGACTTGTTCTTGGAAAGGCGAGGGGTGGCGAGCATTAGTGTTTCTCGGTGCATTGAACGCTAGGAGGCAGGGGAAGAGGGGGAGATTGACTAGCTTTCTGCTCACGCTCTTGTAGTCCGTACAGCAGGAGTTTGAGGGGAAGGGAGGGACCGTAGCACCCTATCACGGATGAAGGCTCGTCCTGTTTCCATAAGCATCACACATAGCAATCACATAGCAACACACAAGTCTCAAAAACACTGTTTTGAGAACGCCCGAAACCGCCCCGAAGCCATTTAATTATATGATATGTATGTATGGCATATTTATGTGTATATGTATATATATTTGTACATATTATGTGTACGACATATATGTATTCGATGTAAATGTCTATGATAAATATGGTACATATATACATGATCAATGATACATATGATATAGTATATCGGTAGCTCATAGGTACAATATAGAAGCGTATGTGTAGTATATCAATAGTATGCAGGAATCATATGTTAAATTAAACATGTGTAGTGTTGCGGGAGTATACAAGCAGTAAATGGAAAGTAGATACGCAGCATATATGAGGTTATAGGTAGTACGTAGGTACTTTCAAGGGAGTATATGTAAGATGTACGTCGTCTAAAAGGACCTAATAAATATGAGGCTGGACTCCGGACCTCGGCAAAGTTGGAAACAGCTTCCAAATAGAAGGGCCTGGAATGCTACCAGTGGACCCATACCATAGGAACACGGAACACAAGATCATATACGTATATATATATATATACATGAGGAACTCTTGGGGATATAGATCTATATATATATACAATACCTAGAAATTAATTTATTGTTATATGGATAACTGTTGGATAACAATTAGAGAAGTAGTGGATAACTATTGATATTGATACATATTATGTGCATATATATATATATATATTAGACATAAAACAATACAATCCATGGATAGCTAGCAGCTATCACCGGCGAGTGGCAACTGGGATCATGAGACAAGTGAAGGGTCTTCAACCAGCTCCAAAGCTCCTGAGGGACCACCGGAAGATTCATGGGGACTGGCACAGCTTTTTGGCACATGCAGATGATCTAAAATTACATGTTGGTGTAGATGGTCGTATATGTTTGTAACAAGTATACATATGTTCATATATATGTTTATGCTTATATACTAGATTATTTACTACCATCTTGGCTACTATCTTAGCTACTATCTTAGCTACTATCTTAGCTATGGCAGATGATGCTTCAAGTGACAATGGCAAATCCGCATTGGACCTGGTTGAGATTGGACCTCTTCCCACTGGTGTTGCTTGTATCGCTCATGATCGGCTAGATCGCCAGTCTTGCAGATCAAAATGGTCATGTCTTCGCCAGTTTGTTCACTCTTAACGGGAGGTACCCACACGTTCTTCCCTTCTATCAGAATTTAAAAAGAAACACAGAAAATCCACCAAGGAAACTAAAGAATTAGCTTTCTCCCACTTCATCCTCACTATGTTTTTGAGCCACTCCACCCACCCCACCTGCAAGGCTTGGCACATCAACAGCCCCAGGTCACGGCCTTTGCCCGTGCCGTAGCTGAGCCTTGAAATCACCAAATCCACCAGGAACAAACGCGCCCATTGGACCTGGCCCAGATCACCCAGTTGGAGCCTCCTAGGAGTTGGAAATGGCTAGTAACCCTGGGTGATCCTATATCCCACATTCCAAATAAACATCCCCCCAATTTTCTGTAGTTATTCATGTTTAATAGGATGAGATTGTCATGATATTCCAAGCAGAACCATCAACCGCCAGGGATCAACTATGGCACTATGGGTCACTGGCTGTTCAACCCCCAAAATTTGTGCTGAGACCCTACAAATAACCAGCCACATCCCATCATGGTGATCATGAAACAATGCTAAATTCATCCACAATAGATTGATGCTGATAATCCCCAAAAGCATTCAAGCAATCATCATCCTAGACCAATATCTTCCTCCCAAATATCAAATACCCCCTCGAAACTTTGGTTCAGTAGTGGATGTTTATATTCACCAGTATATCAAGTGATACCATCTGGTTATTTAACAGTTTGCCATGGAAAATCCACATTTTTTATAGGTAAATCATCTATAAATGGGTAAATCTCCATTTCCCATGGCTATGTTAGTCATAACCAGGTTGGGTACAGTATTCCCCAAAATCTGCTAGAAATTCTCACTTCGAAGGTCCCAAAATCGGCCGGCGCTTTCTTTTTGGGGTCCGCACCGACCAATGGCGATGCCCCAGCACTCCTGCACAGGCGCCGCTCAACTCGAAGGCTTGGCGGACGAAGAGGCGCTTCACCTGCTCAGGATATAGATGTAGTAGTATAACTATTATAGATATATAGATATTGTGTTATATATCTAGTAGGTTAATGTTATATATATATATAGATATTGATATATATAATCATTCACTGCATAATATAAGTGACTACTGTATATGTATTCACCTTGCTTATGTATACATTAAGAGTAATAATTAAAAACAATAGCAATAATTAATAACAATGATAATCAATGTAGCATATAAATTGTCTACATATGTATATATAGTCTATATATATAGTATATATATAGTCTATATATATATATAGCATGCATATAGTCTATATAATATACTGTATATATATATACATGTACGTCGCACTACATATCTCTATATAATATATATATATGGTGTGTATATATATATATATTTGTGCGTACATGAATACTGGGTGCAATAGAAACCCAGGTGGTATCCCCAACAACAAAGTTGGCTGGAAAAATGTGGAAACAACTGCAACCCTGGCAACGGGCGCCAGATCTGGATCTCAGTCGGTATTTGTTTTCCCAAGAATCTGCTACAGCCTAGGTATTGGTGGGATACCCCCTCCAAGGACTCACAGTGTCACCAGGGTATCAAACTACTTACCCTTCAGTAGATTAGCTTCGGAACCAACACGAAAAACTCCCTAGGAAATGATCTATATATATATATATAGTGACGCCCAGTATGTATGTGAATTTGCTGAGGGGTATCCAATCCATTCACCCGTACTCATTTCAGGATATAAAGAACAATATACTCAACGAAAAGCAGCGATGTGAAACAACAACTGCCAGGTTGAGCACCAACAAACTCAAGGATACAACCCCAAAATTCATCAAAATTGTGGATACAAATTGACCAAGCAAATGAGGGAAATCCCTCAAAATGAGTATGCCCTCGAAGCAAAAGGCAAGAAAAAGATGTGCCAAGAAATGGCTTGCAAATCATTGGCAAATGAGTCCTTGGCCTAACCAACTAGACAGGCATCCCGGATTATCCCAGTCATTCACCTGTCAACATTGCCATAATCAACTTGAAAACCTTATTGTCCCAGGAAGTAGTGACCGGAATTATCATCAGGGTCATGACAACAATCCCTCCCGATTCTACTTGGCTATCTCTCTATTTCTTCTGACTTATACCCCATTGCTTTCACATGTATTACTGAGTCTAACCATTGAATGGGTTGAACATCCAAGTAGTGAAAAAGAAACACTGTTTCCAGGTGATAAAGCCGCTACTAGTTGGGATACAATGCCCAAAAAAAAAGACCTATTTGAATCCCTTCCACCTAAGCTTAGATACCACCCATTTCAGGATAGTTAAACCATGTGAAAGCATGGCTTTACCACCCTAGTCACAAAAAATCATGGGCTTAACATCACTAAGCAGTTTTCATGAACCGAGGCTTCACATAGCTGACATAGCTATTCCCCCAATCCCCCAATGGCCGGCCATCTTCAAGTTGGCGCCCATGTTCATGGCAGCACCGCTCACGTTGCCCAGCGCAGGGGTCATCTTGGGTGAAAAAAACCTCGGGACGACCCTGGGGCTGGGAAAACATGGTGCTTGAACCAAGAAAATGTGGATTTATACAACAAGAACAATGAGTTTAACCAGCAAAAATGGCGCGAAAATCAAGCATAGAGATATTGGGTAAATATCTTCAACGAACATGAAATATTCAAAAACGTTAACCAGCTAAACCGGATATACAGTATTGGGTAATAATTTACTGGGGATATCTGGAAAATCTTGGGTTTAGAACATCGGATTAAGAATAATTCTAGGTACAAGTGAAACCTCGTGAAACCATCAAAGGGTGACATCATCCACATCATGGGGTTCAACCGCCATTCGTGGACCCAAAGGTCATAACGGATGTCTTTGCTCCAAGATCTTCCGAGGGGTGGTTTTCATCACCCAAAGTGGATCCAGGAAGCCATGACACACTGACACACCATCTTGATTCATCTTGATCCATATCCATTCTGTGTGTCTGTCAGATCCTGAGCCAAGTCGGGGTTTCCTCGGAGATCCGCCGAAGATTCTGTTGTCTTCTTTTGCGTGGGGATAGATCTTCCACTGAACTCATCCCCCCCCAGAAAGGGGACGACAAAACATGTTCGGTGTGGAGATTGTCCCCTTTTGGAAAACCACGGTGATTTGCTGCAGTCGACCCGAACCGTTGGGGAGTCATATGGATGATAGAAATTGGGGGTACCTCTCAACCATGGCTTTCCCAATCAAGGACCAATACCCTCTGGTAAACTAACAGTTTGCTATTGAAAATGGCCCAGTCGAAATAGTGGATTTACCCATGAAAAAATGGTGATTTTCCATAGCAAACTGTTAGTTTACCAGGCCGGGTAACTTGGATGAATTTCTTGGGATCATCCCAGCCACGTCCGCTCGGCCAGTCTTCCCAACAAGCGCTCCGTGGCCAAGAGGGACGCCTCTGGCTTGGCTGGTGAATCTTAGCCAAGAGATTTCCATCCTGAAAAATACCATCTTTAATCAGTAATAATCTATATAGTTAAACTCCTAACGCCCTGATTTGGATGGATAGTGGGTAAATTTGATATCTATCATCATTTCGGGTACTGTATCCTCTACTTCTCTTGTTTCAATATCATGAATTTGCTGGTGAAACATATTGGTGTTCCATCTTTCTTGGCTGGATATCCTGTTTTTTCGTTGATTGAAAACGGTCAAGTTTTGGTTAAAGATATATAATATCCAACCAACCAAAATCGATGAAGAGGTAATGTTTCCCTAGTTTGAGTTGAATAGCTGAAACTAATAGTCATGCCCTAAATGTGTTATTGATTTAAAATTCATCAAATTAGTCTTAAATCTTTACTTAGATTGATTTAATTTCAACCGATTACCACTAAATCACCATCTTTGATGGTTAAATGACCAAAAAATCGCCATGTTTCTTGGTTAAATCCCATGAAATCCACCAGAAATCCACCAGAAATCCACCAGAAATCCACCAGAAAACGCGCATGGTGCGCCTCCGCCTGTTGCCCACAGCTGCCGCATTGCCAGGTTCCGGTGCCCACGTCGAAGCTGCAGCGAGCGCTACCTGGAGCGGATATTATGTATCGGACATTGCAAGGTAGGATATAGGATAATGGGATAATAATGGGATAATATAAGTTAATATTAAAGTTTCTAGATGGGGTACCCACACATCATCCAGTCGTCATGGATGCCAATGACATAGTATTATGATGTATTATGTATTGAAACCTATGGTGACTTGGGGGTCCCATTTTAGGAAACCGCCCATTGAACAAATTTACCTAGAAAATCAGGGATAATAATGGGAGAATAATGAGATCATCAAAGGAAGTTGGGAAGCAATCTTCCGAGTTCTGAATGACTTTTCAAGGGGGGCCTTGGGAAGTAACTTAGGGAAGTGGTGACTTGGGGAAGTGGTGACTTAGAGAAATGGTGACTTAGGGAAGTGGTGACTTAGAGAAATGGTGACTTAGGGATGTGGTGACTGGTGACTTAGGGAAATGGTGTCTGTTGCATGGGACTTGTGTTGGGGAGGAAGCCGGAGCGCGAAACATTGTGTTTTTTCGGGTAAAGTGGCTGGTGACGCGGGTCCGCCAAGCAACTGCTCAAGTGGGCTGAACGATCAAATGACACCAGCACTGGGCTCGACACTTTCATGGTGCCATGGGCACGACCGGCACGACGCATCCTTTGAGTCAACTGAGTCAACATGAACATCCAGTGCCAATGCGCTCTGAGTCTGGACTAGTCCTTTTCAGAGACAATGATGACATGTTTGGTTCGCAAATCAATCTTTAAAGAGGGCTCGAACATTTGGATCCTGAGTAACCCAACACCTCCGTGTAACAGCTTCTTTGTGTAAAAGCTTGCTGTGTGCAAAAGTTTGCTGTGTGTAAAAGCTTCTCTGCATAAAAACTTGCTGTGCGTAAAAGTGTTCTTTGTGTAAAGCTTTCTTTGTGTGCTTGTGTGCGCGCGCGTAGTTTTAGAGTGTTTTGGCATCTGTGGTTGCAGATCGCATGACGTTGCCATGTTTTCTTGCCACGTGCGTAGATACATGCGGGTTTGTGACGCGCTGCGCATGGTGGCTGTTTTGTATGAATGTTGGGTGGGGTGTGTTTTGGGGAGGAAGCCGGAACACGAAATGATCACATAGAAGGGGTGACTTAGAGAAGTGGTGACTGAGGGAAGTGGTGACTCTGGGGAGTGGTGACTCTGGGGAGTGGTGACTTAGAGAAGTGGTCAACCGCTGCAATTTCTGTTGCCATTGTGTATGTGAAAGCTTCTCTGTGTCAAAGCTTGCTGTGGGTCAAAGCTTGCGGTCTGTAAAAGCTTCGGTGTATAAAAGTTTCAAGTTGTTGTGCAAGTTTAGTATTGCAATTTGCAGAACATGTCGTGCAATGGTGGTTCGTACAAAGTTCTTTTGGGAAGTGTATTGTGTATGCATGGTAGTACAAAGTGGTACTAGGGAACAATAATGCCATGGTTTGGCAACGAGACACTGCTCAATTTTGTGGGTTCTAACTTTTGAATGCTAATCAACACGGTGTTCTGGCCGCAGCTGTTTGCATTTTCTTGGGGGCAGGCATGTGAAGCAAGAAAGAAGTAGAAACATGGCATTTGCTAGAAGTCTCCGGTATCTAACGCTTACAGATGTTTGTTTGTCAGCATTATTTTTCTCATGTTTGGAACTGTTAGTGTATGAGAAAGGCATGCATGATGAGAAAGCCATGCATATATCAAAGAGTGTTTGGACGTAGTGTGCAAGGAGGCGTGGAAGTGCGGCCTGCTTCCGACTTGGTGGAGCCATGGCATTGAGTGTGTGAATCCGGACGAATTCTGGTATATAGTCACCATATGTCACCATAAATCCATAAGCATTATCACATGCTTTGATATTGGTCCATATGGGCCCCTAATGATGGCCTTCACTATCAACTGGCATCGTGGGTAGGGAAATGCATCCAAAATCCATCAAAATCGTATGATAAGCCCGAAAAGAATCGGAGTATTCAAAAAACTCCCAAATTCATTGAACAATGATAGTGAAATCATAATTTTTGCTGGTTGGATCTCCATTTTCGTTGGTGAAATTTCCAGTGTTGATTTAACATGGCTACAGAACATGGCCATTTCTAGCTGATTTGCCTATTAAACATAGTGAGTTTCAATAGCAAATTGTTAAATTACCAGAGGGATCCAGAGGGTATATCCATTATTTCCAGGTGTATCCCTGTGAATATCCCATGGAATCCCGCCATATTTCATGGTTCAATCATCATCTCCAAAAAATTTGCTGGATAGATCCCATGGCCGCCATGGCCTTCTTCGAAGGCCGCGCAGGGCAGCATGTGCTCCAGGCGCAGGTCGTTCAAAACATCACGGGCAAAGGCCTCCTCCTGGGCGACTGCGATTTTTTCCACGAAAAATGGTGATATTTCATGGGATCTAACCATCAGAAATTGCTATTTTTGATGTATTGAAAATTGCTTTGATTTCATGGTGATTGAAATTGAAGCAACAAAAATATACGGTGATTGAAAAATGACATTTAAGCCATGAAAAATGACAAGACTGATTTGGTTAATCAAGATAGAAGAGGATATAATGATTATAACTATAATTAGGATAAAATGGGACATATATGGGCATATGATATTTGGGTGTGTCTGAAAATGGGGAGTTATCCCCAACTGTAGCCATTTTTTTGATGGGGGGCGAATCTTAACCGTAAACAGCAACCGGGGGGTCGGGATTTGCCCATGAAAAATGCTGGTATAATGGGCTACATTCTGTACATTTACCATCGAGGTTGGCAATGTCCAAGGTTGGAAACATAAGCAAACCTCGGCAGTATATGCAATACATTGTATTGAGGGCAAATCTTAACTACCAACATCTACCAACCAAGATTACAATAGTATTGCAATTCCACTGCCGAATCTTAACCACCTATTCTTCCAGGAATCACCTGGCTGGGGGTCCACGTGCCGTGTCAATCGTTGGGTCACCCAGTCCGTGTGGGATGGTCATGGAACCATACCGCAAAGCCACCTACGGACCTAGTCCTCTCGTCATGAATCAACATCTCGTAGGTCTGTATTGGATTTTCCGTCTTTCAACATTGGGATATGGAATTAACTTGCTACTTTTTTGGGTGGACAAGTTTGTGTTTTGGTCCATGGAATCACATGGAAACGGTCCATTTTTGGCAGGTCAGATCAAGCCATTCGCCACAGGAAAAAACACCAAGCTTTCCCTGTGAATCAGCTGATTGGTTCCAATGAAACTCAGGTGAGCTCGTCCACTAAAGATCATTTCCTATGGGAAACCAGGGGTGGAAACCATGGAGCTGTCCTCTGTCTCGTCGTCGGCCACAGGTGTCTGCACATCGTCGGGTGGCAAGAGCCTGGGAAGATCATATCGGATCCCAGGCGTGAGAAAATCTCAAATCACCCAGGTGAAGATTGAAATTGGATAGAATTCATAAGACATACAGTAAGAGCTGGAAGATCGAATCCTCATACCATTCTGTTTGCAATTCATAGGGAGATTTTCAGATTCGGCTCGGGGAGGATAAATTCGGGATCTTCCACTTTGGAACCGTCTCCGATCAACAAGTTGTCATCCTAAGTGGCACCTCGTCAATTTCATTCTGGTGCAGTGAACTATCACTGCCGCACTGCCCAAGATGGTTCCCCAAAATTGAGGACCAAAAATGCCCAAAACATGTTTCCCTTGGAAGATGTATATGGAAGCCATTGGTGCCCGTGTCCAAAGCCACCTCTTCTCTTTGGCCAGGTTGGGTTCCCGATTACCCGATCCCAGTGGATAAATACGGAATATGAAGAGGTTTGACGTCTATGTCTCCTGGCAACCATGGTTTCGGTCAAAGGAAACCATAAAAACTACCCAATGACCAGAGGGACTGTGGCAAATCCAACACACTCCAATTGAGTATGGGCATACATGGGTATACAACAACACCCCAAATATCCCAAATGATCAAATATGGTTGATGATCGATTTGTCAAATTTCTTGGACTAATCCAATATCCACTAATCACCACTTAAATTGGCTGTTTAAATCCTCATGTTCAGAGCTAAAAAAAACACTTTTCCTAGTGATATTTACTTACGGAAAAAAAATCGGACCATGGTTTCTAGCAGGTGTCAAGTCTAGGGGGCAGGGATGACTTGAATCATTGAAAAACCTCCCCAATTTTTCGCTGAAAAACCTCTCCTTCCGCCAAGGCGCTGCGACGCCGCAGCGTGCCACAACCGCCGCCCCGGCCATGTGGGCAACGGGCTGCCGTCGAAGGAATCGCAGCAGGGCTGGCCGTTGGCATCCACGCGCACACATAGCCTGACATGGCGAGGTGGAGATGCTTTCAAGGGGGATAGAGGAACCCTGGGAGGCACCCCCTAGTCTATTTTTGGGATGTGCCACTTCGCAGGATATGGCCATCAAAATAAATGGGCTCCTGAAATGTGAAGATTTACTAAGATATCTTAAGTAGAATTGCCCTTTCTTCGGCCCCAACTCCAAACCCCAGCTGTCGCATGCTGTCGCTAGGTTCTACCGTTCTGCCCCTCATCCAAACCTTTGCAGGGTACATTAATTCGAAGAAATCCCATAGAAGTCCCGTAGAAATCCATAAGTCCAATAGAAATCCAGAAAAATTAAAGGACCGGATAACCCCACATGTTACCAACTTCTTTAGACTTAGACTGACCATAGAAGAGCAAGAAGGGAAGAGGAAGTATAAGAGTGATGGAGCGGTGATGGTGGGTGAGTTTGTGTGTATGTATGTATGTTCATGTACAGTGAGTGAGTGAGAGTGAGTGTGAGTGAGTGAGTGAGTGAGTGAGTGAGTGAGTGAAGTGAGTGAAGTGAAGTGAAGTGAAGAGTGAGTGAGTGAGTGAGAAGCGAGTGAGTGAGTGAGTGAGTGAGTGAGTGAGTGCGTGAGTGCGTGAGTGAGTGCGTGTGTGTGCGTGGTGTGTGCGTGTGTGCGTGTGTGCGTGTGCGTGAGTGCGTGAGTGCGTGAGTGCGTGAGTGCGTGAGTGCGTGAGTGCGTGAGTGCGTGAGTGCGTGGAGTGCGTGAGTGAGTGGAGTGAGTGGAGTGAGTGGAGTGAGTGGAGTGAGTGGAGTGAGTGGAGTGAGTGGAGTGAGTGGAGTGAGTGGAGTGAGTGGAGTGAGTGGAGTGAGTGGAGTGAGTGGAGTGGGTGGAGTGGGTGGAGTGGGTGGAGTGGGTGGAGTGGGTGGAGTGGGTGGAGTGGGTGGAGTGGGTGGAGTGGGTGGAGTGGGTGGAGTGGGTGGAGTGGGTGGAGTGGGTGGAGTGGGTGGAGTGGGTGGAGTGAGTGGAGTGAGGGAGTGAGGGAGTGAGTGGAGTGAGTGGAGTGAGTGGAGTGAGTGGAGTGAGTGGAGTGAGTGGAGTGAGTGGAGTGAGTGGAGTGAGTGGAGTGAGTGGAGTGAGTGGAGTGAGTAGTGGAGTGAGTGGAGTGAGTGGAGTGAGTGGAGTGAGTGGAGTGAGTGGAGTGAGTGGAGTGAGTGGAGTGAGTGGAGGGAGTGGAGTGAGTGGAGTGAGTGGAGTGAGTGGAGTGAGTGGAGTGAGTGGAGTGAGTGGAGTGAGTGGAGTGAGTGGAGTGA